GACAAATTTACATCCGCCAATGAAATATTCCATCTCCAAGTTTCGGCTTGGTATGGATTATCAACCAGCAGCTACAAGATACTTGTATTTTCACATGAGAGGATTGTAGTATGCAGAATGCATCACAACAAAAGGGGCAGTTAGTAGGCTGAACCGTTTGCAAAAACTTGAACTCCAAGTATACTCAACTTCCCTCTCCATCCAAAGTATAAACTGGTATTTGCCAGGCTTTGGTGTTCTTTTTTGGATCATCGGTGAGGCTGAGACTTGTATCATTTTCCTTGAAAGTTCTGATGAATGTTGTGGCTCCCATCATGACGAGCCTCTCAATCATAAATAATTGGTAATTGTTTTCAATCACTGGGTCCAGAATGTGACTGAAATTCGATGAATAAGCCAATTTGTACCTGACAGTATGAGTAGCCATAAAATCATCAGGGTAAGTTACATTATTGTCAAACATTTCCCCCTCATATTTGACTAATTGCGCTGAACATTTTGATTGTAAGACGTACCGCATGATAGCATTTCTAGAAATAAAAGAAATGGCAGTAGAGAACAAGGTAAATTTTGTGCTAATTTAAATTAAAAGCAGACTCCAATTCCCAACAAGAGTTGATACATTGCTGATGATTAGGGTAAGCACTTGGAAGCAAAAAAGTTGTTATAATGATCCTCCAGAACTTAGAATTTAAACTGCTCTTTCCTCACTATATCACCACATGTGGCTGCCTCCTCTATAATGTTCCATCATTACCATACATCACAACTACCTTTACCGCACCTCAATCATCACCCCCACCTTCTATCTCCTACAACATGCACTGCAGAACTATCTCTGACATTTTAATCCAACTACAGGTCATCATCTTAGTCAAATTCAGACTTCCCACCCTAGGTCACTACTACTGTAACCATCTCCACTATTTCAACACTGATACAAGGCCATATGGATAACTTGACACTTTTTTAACACCACTTTGTTTAAGTTTCTGAGACACCCCCCACAGTTTTTAACCTAAAATGAAAGAGCTGCTAGAAAAGATAAAAGGAAAATTGGTACTTTTAAGCACATCTCAGGAAGGATATCTAAGGCCCTGACAGACCACAGCAGAGATAAGGAAACGTAGAAAAGTAATTTCTTAATGCAGTCCCTCATATTCCAATTTCCATGTAAGGATAATCGTAAATAATACGTGGGGTTATAACTCTTTGAGATGTAGCCCAAGTTTGGTAAGGATTGTACCTGACAGATAGAGGTGAAAAGAATCCTGGTGTCCTCTCATTTGAAGCAATAAAAAGGGTTCGTCCAGGCAGGACCCATTTCTGAATTCTACGAAGGATAAACTCTGGGCGAGTGTCCCTGTCCAAATGAGGATGTAGGCTCCTTACAACACCGAACCTGTCCTTCCTGGTTTTGATTTTATCCCCTCGACGCACATGGATAGCATCATAGTCATGAAGAAGTGCTTTGATCTATGTACATTTTCTAATAAATCAGGAGCTGACAGAGAATGTAACAATAAATATTTCCAGCAAGAAAGAAAAAGCATAAGTAGAGAACTTCTGCAGGAATTAGTTGTGAAAAATAATCTTACATAAAAATGGAGATATAACTAGACTCCTCTCCTCGTTTATGCCACATTTACAAACCCAACAATATCAAATAAGCAACAAATTTCAGTCATAGAATAGAATGCTGCCATAACGAATCAATATATGGTTATTTGTTGAGTAAGTTTGGTTAACAGTTAATGATTTTATTTTAGAAATCTGTGTTTATTCTCAGGTTTAGAATCACAATTGATTTATATGCTCTATGTCTGTTGATGTAGCCATTCCCCTGATATTTCTTAACTGCAGAATTATTATTTAAATTAGATTTAACCAGACATGGGTCACTAATGGTAGCTGGTACCTCCCAAGATCACTGCTTCCATCTTTACCATCTTTGTTTTATTTTAACTTTCACTACTTAATTATCAGACTTTCTGTTTGCCTATTTCCTGTTGATCATTAAACACTTTACAAGATACAAATTCATCTCTAGCACAAAGCTTGCATAAGAGCCATCAGACCCTAATGCTTCTTCTCCTCACTGAAAACAATAGCCAAGCTTCTCAAGAAACTCAGTATATTCAACTAACAAGATAAAACCAGAATGAATGTAGGACTAAATATTTCAGACCTTGTCAGCCGCATTCCTCAATTTTTCAGCTGCCATTGAAGGGAGAAATGAATATGGCAACATTATAGCACTATGATTGTTTCGATCCTTGCATTCCATAAACCTGAGAGAATGAATTCAAACACAAGGAGGTCAGTTCAACAGCACACAATTATTCACTATTCAATCAATATTGATAGATATAATCCAAATCTAATCACAAGCTTGATCTCTTGTGATTCTTCTATAATCAAAATTACAATGTCAGAACAGGCCCTGTGTGGATTTGCAAAATGAATTCTCATCAATATCCTCACAAAATGAAAATAATTAAAAAAAAAAAAGAATTCTCAACAATAGGACAATTTTCTTCACACTACTCCTGATTCTACTGAGTTTCTTTTATATAACAAGGAGCCATAGGTTGTGATAAGAATAGAAGTCTTGAGTTGGTGAGGACAAAAGGTGTTTTAGGTTCAAGTCTTGC